AAAATAAATTTTGAAATAGTGATTTTTTTGGAAAATGTGCGGTTAAAAAGTAGAAAAATATTTGAATTTATATACATAATTATTTTAGTGGGAGAATATGATTGAAAATAAGTTAAGAGAAAAATGAATTTTGAGATAACTGGACTCGAACGGGACAACGGGACAGAAGTAGCATAAAGAAGCAATGTTTTTTTCCCCAAATGCTACATCTTATCCAATACTATCTAACACTACCCATCCATTGCGTTGCTAGCTTCATAGGGACTAGATTGGATTAGTCAATAGACATCAACATGATTCCTGTTCGAGGATAAAGAACATAATTATTTTCAAGGCCATCCAAAAGAAACATGACTATTGAATAATGAATTCCAAAGTATGATTTACTCTCAAGCATAGCCAAGCCATTTCCCCACGAGCAGTATGGAACTTTTGCTGCAATATCAAAAACTCAAAACTGCCTCACAAAATGCCGATTTCTTTTTTAAATTACGAACCTAAAAATAGTCAAAATCAAACTACTATCACATGAATGAGTCACAATAACAAAGTAAGAAACACAGACAGCCAACGTGTAAATGTAAAAACCTAGTAACATCACATCAGCAGGATTAAGCCAGCTTCATGGTTTTCAGTGGGCCTTTGGGAATTTTACTCAATACCTTGACATTGAACACAGCATACTGCTTCTTGATCTCAGCCTCGGCTTTCTCAGCAAAAGCATCAACCTGGTCCTCGTATGTTTCATAGAGCACAGGCACTGAGTGCAACAAAACAAAACCTGTTTTGGAGGGTAAACAGAGGAAATCTGTGAATAAAAATTAGAAAAAGCCAATGATAATTATAATTGCAGAATGAGCCACTAATAATGATATAAAAGTTAACGGGCCACTTACATACGAATAACAAGGTCAGGAAGTTACAGCAATTTCCCAGAATTGAAAGTACCCAGAGGCCAGCAATTGCCTTAAAACCAGAAATGAATACTCTTATCATCAAAGAATGTGCTAGGCATTTAGTAATTTTGGATCTAGGGCTTCAGTGATTTCAAATATAAAAATGATATAATTAATGGCTTCAAACTAACTAATTGTATTGTAAGACCATAACAGAGCCAGAGGATTGATATACCATGAGGAACTTCTTCAGATCTTTGCCAGATGAGATATCTCGAAGGATTGCAAATGCCCTGTTCAATTCGATCCTAAGGGCAGAAGCCACACCCAGGAAAATATCCTCGGGCAGGATGACTTCGGGGATTTGCGGTGGAGACCTAATAGATAAACGGAAATATCAGCTTTCAAGCCCAAAAAATTAAAATAATAAAAAATGAGGGGGGGGGGGGGGGGAAAAAAAAT